TGTAGAAAATAAGATGCAGGAACCTCGACTGCGGTGGTTTGGTCATGTGCATAGAAGACTGAGTCATGCACGTGTTAGATGACTTGAAAGGTGGGGAGAAGAGGCAGAGAGGAGAGGGTGAGAAAAACCCAAACATGCTTGGATCAGAACGGATATGCTTCTTTTTGGGTTAGATGAGAGTATGATTTTGGATAGAACAAAGTGGAGAGCGCATATTCGTGTGGAAAATTGATCTCTTCTCTCTCTTCCTTCTCCTTTTTCTCTTGTTATTTATCTTTCTTTTCTTTCTATGTTCTTATGTTATTCTTATTTTTTATCTTTCTTATTCTCTTTTATCCTTTTATTTTTTTATCTTTCTTATGTTCTTATGTTATTTTTATTTTATACTCCCTCCGTCCCTTAAAACTTTGCCAAGTATGACCGGCACGAGGATTAATAAAGTAAAAACTGTGTGATAGAGGTTTATGCAGAGGAGTGAAAATTAACTGGAACCACGAATACTTTAGGGAAAAGTGGCAAAAACAACTAAAAAAGAATGTTGTCAAAGTTTTAAGGAACGGAGAGAGTATTTATCTTTATGTCATCTATTTTATCTTACTTTATCTTTTTATTCTTTTTATCTTTCTTCTCTTTTTGACTCTGATATCATGGATCGATTTATGTTAATGGACAGCAAAATCTTTTGGGAATAAGGCTTGATGTTATAATGTTAAACCATTTATACTCTCAAACCATAATTATAAAGCACTACATGGAATTATGACTCTTCCAAATGGGTGTTCGAACTTTTACTAAATCAAACCGTGAACTCTTTTAAATATCAGATGGCTAAAATGGTTAAAACTAAACTTGCACACCTGATTCCAGGGCCGTAGATGAGGCCGTGCAAGAAGTGCTACTGCACAAGACTTCTCAATTCAGAAGGCCCAAAATTTTAAATGTACTATACATAATACGGAATATACAAAATCCTTATTTATTTTATTAAAGATTCATATCTTAGTACTTTTGTAAATAAAAACATTAAATAGGACGGAGTAACATTTATTTGTAATTAAAATGGAATTGTTAATTACAATATAATTGTGCAATTTCTTTATTACATAAGCCTATTTATAGTAATTAGCTAAAAGTCATTGTGCATTTTGAGAAGAGCTTGCATACTACTTTCTCTTCCATACTTTATCATTATTTTACTCTTCTTAATATATTCTCTTTTCTACTTTTTCATTTACTGTTTTCTTCTAAAAAATCACAAAACACTAATTAAGAAGACTAGTATATAATAACGTGGGAGTATTAACATTGTGTCTTATACGTTAGGGCCTCATATTCAATTTTGAACAAGGTCTTTTATATGACAGGGCCGGCCCTGCCTAATTCCTAAATGTAAGCTTTATTATAGAGCGTTTCGATTTTACTAGACTTCGAGTAATAGTGTGAAAAAACTAACCAACTAACACCAAAGTTGTATTTGTCGCTCTCAGTTTAGTTAACTTGGTTGAGTTAAAAATAAGGAAAATTCTTGGTGTACACCCTGGGAGTACACCCTAATTATTTGCCATTCACATAGATAAAAAACGCACAAAGACAGACACTTTTGGTAAAGCTGTCGGTGTGAAGGAAATTAGTTTTCAGATCTGCCAGGCTGGTTGCATGGAAACCAATGTCGGTGTACACAGACACTTGTTGTTGGTGTACACAGAAACTAGTTGTCGATGTAGACAAAAAAGTGCCGGTGTGAACAAATTTGGTTTGCAAGTCTGTCAGGGGGTTGGAAAACCAGTGTCGGTGTACACAGATATTAGTTGTCTGTGTAGAAAAAGTTTCTGTACATGTACAATTTTTGTCTGTGTGCGCAGACACTTAAAGGAAACCGGTGTCAGTGTGCATAAAACGAAAATTGTACATGTACAAATACTTTTTCTACACAAACAACTAATGTCGGTTTACACTGACACCGGTTTTCCAACCCTCTGGCAGACTTGCAAACCAAATTTGTTCACACCAGCACTTTTTTATCTACACCAACAACTAATGTCTCTGTACACCTACATTGGTTTCCGTGCAACCAGTCTGGCAGATCTGAAAACTAATTTTCTTCACATCGACAGTTTTACCGAAAGTGTTGGTATTTGTGCGTTTTTTGTCTGTGTGAATGACAAATAATTAGGGTGTACCCCAGGGTGTAACCCAGGGTGTACACCAAGAATTATTCTAAAAATAAGGTCTGAAACGAGACCAGGACCAATATTTACAATTCCGAGCCAATAACAATCACCCACCATCCCAACAGGACAAGTATTAACAATTCTGAGCCGATTACAGGAGTCTTTGCTGAAGCTTTTAAAAAGTGTTTTCATCTTTTGACTTAAAAAAAGCTGAAAACAGTGTTTTCAAATGACCTTAAATTAATCACGTAAAAGCTAAAAGCTGGAAGTAGGTGGAATGGTGCTTTAAACTGCTTTCGCTTTTTTCATTACACAAAAAACACTTATTTTATCAAACACTACAAACTTTTACTTTTTCAGAATCACTTTTTTCTCAAACACTACCAACTTTTACTATTAAGTATTTTCTTCAAAATCACTTTAAATGAATATTAGTCCATAAAATTTATTTATTTATTTATTTATTTATTTATTTATTTATTTAATTATTTATTAAATGAATATTACGAATTTATATATTATTTTTTTAAAAGAACTGATAAGATCATCATTGGGAAAATGAATGAGTTTTAATCATATCTACAATAAGTTTCGCAAAAAAGAAAAAAGGAAGAAAAAGAAATCGAAAAGGGAAAGTAGAAAGTGAAGGGAAAAAGAAAAACTGACGTGACCGCCACATGTATGCCCACATCAACTTCCCACAATTAGTGATGGACTGGGACGGGCCGCCCCGAACGAAATCGGTACTGCTTCGCCCTGGCCTGGCCCGATCAACTGGGACCAAGCCCGGTGACCTTATCCGGGTTTAATGAGGCGGGCTACGGGCTGTGTTTTAAGGTGACCGGCCTAGCCAGGCCGGGCCCGGCCCGGCCCGAGCTTAATTAACTTTTTTTCCCATTGGGCTGGGTGCTAGGTGGGTGGGGCTGCGCGGTTTCGGGGATATGGGAGTGGGGGGAAGTTGGAATTAATTCAAAAAGACAATATAAAAAAAGGAAAAATTGAAAACAATAATCCCAACTACTACCGGTCCGCCGACAATAATCCTAACTATTAATTATTTTTGTATAATCCCAACTATATGGACCGTCCGCCAATAATGGTCCATGACCAGATATTACCTCTTACAACTAGTGATTTTTAAATAGAAATTAAGTGTAAAAATTAAAAGTTAGGATTATTTATAAGGATTACTTGCTATATCTCTTCTCATCCACTTTAAAAACTACAAGAATTTATTTATAGGGACTATTATTGGCGGAAGGTCCCTAAAGTTGGGATTATTCTGAAATAATCAATACTTGAGATTATTATGGGCGGATCGCCAATAGTTGGGATTATTACTATCAATTTTTGTCCGACCCGATCCTAACCCGGGTCGAAATCGGGCCTGAATATTGCACCTGAAGCCCGTCCAAACCCGGCCCAACCCCTTATTACAATCACCCAACAGTCCCCTTTTTATTTTTTTTTAAAATATTCTTTACATTTTTTTAACCCCTACCCCTCCTCATCTTTGTCATCTTTTAAATGTAATCCCATCTTTTTTAAAGTGCAAAACGAATGAAAATAAATGGGACCATAATGCGGACTGATGATGTTTTTATTAACTCAAAGTTTCTAGCTTGGTCTGATCTAATAAATGTCTGATCTGTGTATGGTTGGAAAAAACCAAACTGAAACCCGGAAATCGACCCTGAACCGACCCAAATTATGATCCTGGTTCAAGTTTTTTCTTTTTAACCAGTCCGAATAAAAAAAAGGATCGAACCCAAAATTCTGGGCGCATTAACGGGCCTTAAAATCTATAACCCAGCCCGGACCGATAAAAACATGAAACAATTACCTTTAATATAAATCAATATAATATATGAATATAAATTTATAAATATTTCCTAATATATGATTATAATCACGGTGGACGAAAAAATGATTTAGTAATTTTCAATGACTACAAATATGCTCAATTTGTTTAGCGTAGTGGCCATGAAAATATATCTATGGCAACTCTAGTCATATTTTTCTCTAAATTTTATTTCATAATATTTTTAAGAAACCTATATTATTTTATTTATATGCATCTTAAATAAAATATTAAGATAATTATCTTCTTTGGATTTCAATTGTTGGTGATTTTGGAGACTAACATTTGTGTTATAATTTGCGATTTGTATTTTGGATTAATTTTATTTGAAAATAGGTGTTAAAATATAAAAGAACAATGAGATATTTCACGTCACCAAAAACGCAAACCCGAACTGAACCGACACTACCAAAAACCCGACTCGGACCGAATATATTGGATTTTGTTCTGGTCCCTAATTTTCATAAACCAAGACCTTACGAGTAATTTCCAGGTTTAGCAAAAACCCGACCCAGATCAGACCGATCCCACCTATAATAATTATCCACATCTGGTTTAATCTGATATGACACTAAAAACAATTCAAATAAAAACCAACCAACAAAATTAATAAATGGCATTACTCTCTTTGATGTTACAAGTGTGAGTTTTTTTAGTTACTTTCTGTTGATAATATTATGTTAATAATATCACACAATATCTAGATTTTGACAATTTGACATAAGCATTTGACATTGCGAGTAAAAGTAACCAAAAATAAACATGTGAAAAGAAAAGAGATAAATTATATCCCTCGAGACACATGCATTTTCAACACTTTTGCCTTGATGATGCTCTAAGTTATATGACTTATATCCCGAAACCTAGTTTTCCAGTCCTAGTTTGAAAACCGGCCAGTCCCAAGACCATGTCCATGTAGACAGTCCACCCCTACCTCTAAGGTAGTCAAGCTTTTGTAGAAAACTTAATAACAAGCAAAAAATTATCATATACGTAGTAAAAAACAAGCAGATAATGAGAACACGGTATTGTACAAGAGGACTTCAAAAGATCCTGCACCTTATAAGATTGTTGTAGTAGATGATAAAACAAAAGGTTGATTCCTACTACGTTCAAAAGAAATTTGGCATAAGCGTAAGGCAAAAGAGCTCAGGCCACTTGAGCAAACCATATCCTGTTTAATGAAATAGCAACCCACTCCTAGGCAATTCACTACGCATAACAATAATAAGGTAAACTTCGCCCACACAGTGATACAGAGTTATCTTCAGCTAGAAGTAAAATATTGATTATAAGTTCCCCCAGTTTGATGAAGCATTGCATCAATTTCATCACCATCTTCCATCTCTAGCTGAAATAGCACAAGGTAAAATGAGAATTGCGTCCAGCAATGATTGGAACTCAAACAAGACACCAGATAGGGGGTGAAGATGAAGAATTTTTATCATTTATTGTTAAAAATAACAACAAAAATTAAATTTGCTTAAACCTATTTAAGAATTTATATATTGCAGACATATTGCAGAAATATCTGAAATGTACTCATTGGATCTAAAACCAAGTACTCCGTAATATTTATTTCTCAACAAATTTATTTCCATCCAAATTTTCTGTCTGTTCTTCCTCTTTTGCACTTTTTGGGTTTCAAATGGACCAAAAGAAGATGCATAAAAAAGAAGTCACCATGCAAATTTATCTGATCCCACACAGTCTATTATGTTCACCATGTGGTTGATTTTGTATCAGATATGCAAATAAAATGCAAATGAAAGGGGAGGAGGGAGGGAGGGAGGGTGAGACTTCATCTGGAGTCTGATCCGCTCGAAGACGTCGCCCATCAAACAGGAAAGCTATTGAAGTAATTTCAACAGACTGTCGGTCACAGTATGCATTCATTAGCTTCTTTAGTTGAGTGCTCCTTTTAATCCTGAAGAAGACTTCATTACCATCCTACATACAAACACAGATAATTTGATGCAAGTTCAGGAAGAAGAAACCAAGAGGTGAAGGATCCAAGACTGCCATATTACCCTATATTCCACATGCATTTTGTATTGCAAGAATGGGCAAACGAAACGAACCAATGAAAACAATGAGTTAGGGTGGATATATCATGGATATTAGGCACACAGCTAAGAACAAACCATCCAAAAAAATCAGAAGCAAAGAAGTTACCAACAAGTGAATGGAAAGCAAGAAGCATGCACAATCATTCTATAAAATGTCACCACCTTCATCCCAAACAATGACTCATTGAGTTCCATTAGCAGGGCTAATTTCAGGGTTACAACCAAGACTCTTTACACGAGAGGCAAGTATTATACATTAGAGGTCAGTTTAAGTCATTCAGAGATGGGATCTGAGGGGTTTCAGAGGAGTAGGGGTTGGCAGGATAAATGTACATCTTGAGATAAATTTGAGAGAGCATTTATTAAGATTGAAGGAATTAAAAAATATGTGATAGTACAATTTCTCAAGAACCCTTCAATTTTTTAGAAACTTCCTATTCATAGATATAGAGCAAGTCCTCCAAGTCCTTCCACACAATAACCCTTCATCCAACAAAATCATCCCCTAAATGAGATCTATATTGACCTTTACGGGAGTTCAGTGAAAAGAAACACAAAGTTCAAACCTGCAAAAGAATATTTTAATTTGAAGAACCATTGCAATCAATAACTATCTCGCCATTGATTTGAAAGCTGTGTAGTGCATGCAATTCCAGAGGCACGCAGTTCTCTTAAACCTTAGTTGGCGAATGCTGTAATACTTCTCTATAATCCGAAAAGGACTAGTGCAAATAATCGACCTAGTTTAACTCCCAAAGACACAAACCTAACCCTCTAATTGATTCGCTACTTTGGATTACGTTCACAAATTGAAGACAGGCATAGATTCATGAGATGAAATCAAGCAGTAGCAACGCAAAACATACAACATCAAACTATCAACCCTTAAATTTTCCACGAACAAACCCTAAATTAAAAAGCAAATACACAAAGACGCAATATATAGAGAAGCTAAAGGGATGAGAGGAAGCAGAAAACCTGTCCTTTGACTTTAAGGTTAATGTGCTGACCAGCTTCCCCGGCTGGGGTCGGCTTCTTCTCTGCCTCCGGTCCCTGAGACATTTTCTCTTCTCAGTTCTCCCCCTCTTCTCTAATACTCCAGCCTTTCGAATCTGAGCAAACAAAGACGGCTGCGATTATTTTTTGCATTTATACTACCTGTTAGCGTTAAATCAACGCTATATATTTTTCTGTATTTTGAAAAAAAAAACGAACAACCTAACAAATATTACAGCCTTTTAAAATTGAGCGATGCAGCATGGATATTTTCTTTTTTTTGGACTGTAATTTGCTGGTCTAGTCTGATCTGGTCCGGTCTGGTCTGATCTAATCTGGTCTGGAACTGAAAATAGTCCAAAAGAAAACATCCCAAGTAACAAATCTTGCTCAAAACTATTAAATTAAATAAAGAATAAATAAAGTCTTTCGGATGAAAGAACAAATCTTTTTTTTTTGAGAATATTTTTATTAAGGAATCATTTTCAAATAGTAAGGACATACTACCTCCGTCCCTGAAACAACTTCTCATTTCGGATTACGATGTTTGATTGAAGATAAATTAGTGTGATCTCTGTTTGCATTCAAATTATTCCTAGTAAACAAAATTTATACATCAGAAATTACATTAAAATCACTACAAAGTCTGATAAAAAATTGTAAATTTGATAAAAAAAATTGATATATAAAGCAAAAGATTAAGAGTGATTCAAATTAACAATGTAAATAGTGAATGAGAAACTAAATGTGGGATCGAGAGAGTAATTAATTTCAAAGATACTAAATGATACGGAGTACTTAATATGACATGTGTTAATAAGCAATGCATAAGAGCATCACCATTCCTAATCCCGTAAAAATCACACTTTCTAGCATTCTTGCCTTTTAAATATTCTTACATAATTAATTTTTAAATAATCTCAAAATCCATTTATGTCTCCCAACCATCATCTTCAAATAATCCGCTTTTTTCTCCGTCCAACATTAACGTATTACACATACTTTTCAAATAATCTTAAGATAATCCGGATTCATATTTTGATCCCGGATTATTCTAGCAAATAATCTCATTAAATAATCAATGTCTCCCAATGATACTTCTCTAAAAAATCTGCCAATGTCACTAATTTGATCCCTCAATAATCCTAACAAGAAGATGCCCTAAAATAACATATTTATTTCACGTACATATTTACTTCACGTAGTTTACGACATAATTTAACATTGAAACGTACCAAATAACACTATACTGTAAAGGCAGACGCATTAATATGCACATATACAATATAATATAAAATATAATACAATGTAATGTAATGTAATGTAATGTAATGTAATGTAATGTCATGTCATGTCATGTCATGTCATATTATTCTCATTTCCCTTAATGGAAAGTTATCTTACATCTAAACGGTGTCATGTCATGTCATGTCATGTCATCTCATGTCATGTCATGTCATCTCATATCATATCATATCGTATCGTATCGTATCGTATCGTATCGTATCGTATCGTATCGTATCGTATCGTATCGTATCGTATCATATTATTCACATTTCCCTTAATGGAAAGTTATCCTACATCTAAAAAGTGTCAAACAGTGCAAAACAGTACCAAACAGTGTCTAAACAGTGCCAAACAGTGTCTAAACAGTGCCAAACAGTGTCTAAACAATAAAGTCAAATTTATTTCCTAAATATGTGTGTAGGCCAAAGTAGGAAATTAATAGCGGGACGGAGGGAGTATAACTTTTTCATTTTTGCTTCAATGTTTACAAAAAATATATTAAAATTCAAATTTTTTTGTGATCTTTCATATGAGATCAATATTCAATATATAAAAATATAATTTATTAATAATCTCTATAATTATTCTTAAAATTATTTATATTTATATATTGCATCCATTCCATAAAAGTTGGAAGCTGTTCTCTTTAGGGGTGTGCACGGGTCGGGTTCGGGCGAACCCTAAACCCCTTCGGGTTTTTTAATTTAAATACTAGGCCTGACCCTTTGATATTTCTAATCGGGTATTTCGGATATTTTTAAGTCGGATATTATCGGATATCGGGTCGGGTTTCGGATATTTCGGTTATATTAAAAAAAATATAATTGGATAATTAAAGTGTTTAAATGCCACTTTGACAAAAATCGTACACACTAGTGCACTAAACCTCCAAATTACACAAATAATTAAACACAAGTGTTAATTTAACATATTCAAAGTACACACTACATAATTTAATATATTTCGGATATTTTGGTTATATCAAAACACATTATAATTGGATAGTTAAAGTGTTGGAATGCCACTTTAACAAACATTGTACATACTAGTTCACTACACATTCAATTCACACAAATAATTTAATACAAATTGCACAAATAATTACACAAATAATTGAACACAAGTATTAATTTAAATATTCAAAGTACACACTAACATATATTTTGGATATTCGGGCGGGTCGGGTTGGGATTCACAAACCCTACCCGCCACCCGGTCTAGGCCCAATACTATTCGGATTTCCGGTTTCGGGTTTTTCGGGTCGGATATCCACTTCGGTTCGGATAATATCCGAAAAAAATATCGGGTTTTTCGGGTCGGATCGGGTTTTGCTCAGCCCTAGTTCTCTTCATCATCTGATCTGAAAGTTTTTTATATGAATTTATTAAGTTCTGATCTGAATTTTTCTGATCTGATCTGAATATTTCTTTAATTAAAATTATACTTATTATAATTATAATTGTAATTATAAATATAATTTAAATATAATTTATAATGATAGTCATAATTCTAAAAAATTATAATCATAATTATAATCTTAATTATAATTATAATTAAAGTTCTAAAAAATTATGCCTACTACACTAATTATAATTATAGCTATAATTATAATTGTAATTATACTTTTAATTATAATTATTCCTATAATAATTATCGTATAATATTTATATTTTTAATTATAATTATAATTACTCTGTATAATAATAAAAATAAATAATAATAATAATAATAATAATAATAATGATGATGATGATGATGATGATGATGATGATGATGATGATGATGATGATGATGGAGTATATGGCCCGGGAACCCCCGGCCCACAGACTCCTACTAATCTATCACAGGCCCAACAAGCCCAAGGAGCTTAGGAAGCCCAAGATTCGGCGGCCCAAGTGTCAAGAAGCCCACAAAGCACACAGTGGTGCCTTCGGCCTCCTTGGCCGAAGGCTCCAAAACTCACAGAACAACCATTTTTGGGCATACGAAGCTACTGGGAGAAAACGGCAGAAAATGGGAGCCTTCGGGACTATGGAGCCCTCGGCATCAGGGAAGCCTTCGGCTACACAGAGCCTTCGGCATATAGTGCCCTCGGCTGCAAGGAGAGCATTCGGCTGAACAGACTCAATCATCGAAGATTCCTTTTGGAGACAGCCAACCACCGCATTTAATGCGACGTCACATCCGCCCACCGCATTTAATGCGGTGAACGTGCGATTGCCGGTGCCACCCTGATTGAGGTGACCCCTCGGCCGTTGGATCGTCGCCACGTGTACTCTCATCGCATTTATTACTACTATAAATAGCAGCCCCTTTCCCCATTGTAAAGGACCAGAACATCTCGAGTTCATTAATACAATCGCCTCTCTCTCTCCTACTTGTTTGCTCTGACTTCTCTCTAGGTTATTCTCACAATAACCCCCCGGATAAGCTACCCCCCGGGTACACTGTCCATCAAATAACAATAATAATAATAATAATAAAGCTTATAAAAATAATAATTATAATAGTAAAAATAGTAATAATAGTAATAATAAAAATAATTACAATAATAATAATAACATCAACAAAAACAATAATAATAATAACGGCGACAACAACGACAACAACAATAATAATAATTTATTAATAATAATAATAATAATAATAATAATGATAATAATAATAATAATAATAATAATAATAATAATAATAATAGTAATGATGATGATGATGATGATAATAATCACCTCAATAATAATCATACTATTAATAATCATAATATTATTATTATAATTATTATTATTATTATTATTATTATTTTATAATAATAAAAGTGATAAATCATGTTTGAAAATTTCTGATCTGATCTGATCTGAATGCTTCTGATCTGATCTGAATGTTTCTGATCTGGTCTGATCTGATTTGAATCTTTCTGATCTGAATCTTTCTGATCTGATCTGTATTTTTCTGATCCGATCTGATCTGAATAAAATAAGAATAAACAATAACTAATAAAAATAAGACGAATAGAACAGCTTCTTGGCCAAGATTGACTTGCACGTAGAATAATAAAATACTGATTGTGTGGTTGATATTTTTGTAGAGAAATGAGAAATAACTTTAACCACATATTTCTTATTTTAAGTGGAAATGACAATGTTTTTTGGAATGACCAAAAATTGAAAGTTTGTCATGTTTTATGGGACGAAGGTAGTATATGAAAGTAGTAGGTTATTAAAAATACTGTTTTACCCCAATTATTAAGCAACATGCCTACCTACCAATGATAGAGAGCATTGCTCTACTTATGCTACGTGGCTTCATCATATCTTTTACATTTTTGTTATTTGCTTTATAAAAAATGAATTATGAAGATAGAAAATATAAAAATTTGGTTTACTAATGCAGTGTTTGCAAGATATTAAAAATGTGTTTTTCAGCTTCTAGCTTAAAAAAAATTGAAATGAGTGTTTCCAATTGACAACTTCTTACTTAATATTTTTTACGGTCTTTCATATGACACCAATATTGTATATATAATTTTTTTTAAAAAAATGAAGGTTTATTAAATCTTCAATATTTTCCAAACACAATATCAATTATTCCGTATTAAATGAATGCATAATTTCTACTATATAACTAAAATAAGGATAATTGATACAAATATGACTTATAAATTTTTTAATTAATATAATTGTATTTAAAATTATACCAAAGTGATTATAAAAGGATATTCATAGCAAATTTAGTTACATTGTTGTATATGCAATATTTGTTTTTAAAAAAGATAATATGAATTTTTAATATGTTGTGATGTATATCGTGCGCTGAATTGTATAATAATCAA